CTCCTCAGTGCCACTCACCTGCAATTAAGAACTCAGAGGTCATGAATGAACCACTCACCTCAGACCATGACAATCTGTTGTAGGCTTCACCTAAACTTACTCATATTTTAGATCTTTTGTGGTTGCTTCTCTTCTGAGAAGGAATGCAACATCTTCTGGGCTCAGAAGCAGCTGCTTGACTTGCAGAGTCCACCCTTTTCCACAGGGTCAGCCTCAAAGTGCCGAGCAGACTGTTAAACCCGCAACCTGGTGTGAGGGGTTGTGCCATGGTCTGCCTGAGTGTTCGTGGCAACCGGGTCTGGGGGTTTAAGTTTCAGGCATCTGCCTGATAGATCACAGTGGCTGCCTGGTGAGGTCTGGGTCCCTGGGCTCTGCTGGGTCCCCGGCGGGGGTGGTCGCCCCTGGGTCCCGGGTCGCTGGGTCCCGGGCTCGGCCGGCTAGGGGGTGGGAGGCTGCGGGCGGGCCTGTGGGCTTGCCGCTGATATCTCCCGGGACTCTGCCGGCTGCTGGTTGTGGCCCCCCGGGGCGATCCTCTGTGCCTCTCAAGGGGGGTGGGGGCCTTTCTGGTTGCAGTCTCCTTGGGGTTCCTGTGTTCTGGGGCAGCGCCTGGATCTCTGGGACTTGGAGCTTCCCCCGTCTCCTGCACATCTTTGGGGGGCGGATCTGTGGCCCCTCACACTCTCTGTTGGACGCTCCTATAGAGAAACCTTACATAAACAAGCGCGTGTACACACACAGGTGCTCATATGGTGCTCTTAAAAGTATGGACTTGGGCACATTAAACACAGGTCTTAAGACTATGGTGGGCACTTAATGCACTGTGATTTATTATCGTGATTCTTCAGTTAAGTAATGTTGATTATATATTTCTTCATCAAGTTGACACAGTGATAGCTAGATCTTGTTGTATTGTTGGTGTGTCCCTTTTTTTGTCTTTTTCTGCAGGTCTAGAAGCAGACTCTTGTTCATTGTTTATTTTTGTGGGAACCCCCCCCCCCTCTCTCCCCATCTTTTCTTTTCCTTTCTCTTTCACCTCTGTCTCCGTGTCTGGTCGGAATTACATTGCATTCAACAACAATAACAATAAAGTTTTAAGTATCAGGCGTGACATTAAAAGCAAACGCTTTGATGCTCTACCTGAGAGTAAATCTGTAAGGCTTGTCACCAGCATTCAGACATCAATTCTGCTTGCTTCACAGCCAGACAGGACACGGTAAAAAAAAAAAAAAACAAAAAAAAAATAACAACCCGCAACGGTGCCCTCTAGTGGCTGGTAGATGTAAACATAAACCCAGTGACGTGCCCGTCACAGAAAATATTTGATGATTTTTAAATGAAAATATAACTTTTTAAGAAAATTTTGTACCTTCAATCTGCACACCTCTAAACACCCCATGTAGGTATTATTTTTTTAAAACATAGCTTTTTATTAAATAGTTTCATATTTAACCTTTAAGCAGCATTGTTGTGATAATGCTGTGACACAGCCAAAAATTGGATCAAGAACAGGTCCACCTCAAAATGTTCCAGCTATAATTTCAAATGTATCTACTAGAGACATTTCTGGGATAGATCTACATCCCAGTGATCTGTTTTGGTACACATGTAGTTTCCACTCATGGAGATGAAGAAAGTCTCCAGAAAACCCCATTTGTAGAAAAGCATCTTGAAGTGGAAACATGAAAAGTATTGTAATCAGCTGAAGGAAATGATGCATTTCACAGGTTCTGTTTCAGGGCTTTTCTGTGCATTTTTTAACCATTATTTATCCACTTTCTTTAGTTTTACGGCCTGAAACATAATCTTTTGTCCACCACTTGCTCACTTTGGTCATTTCTAAGCCTGTGTTTCAAAGTGTGCTATTATAACTAAGACCACTCGTTTGAAGAAGCAGGTTTTTTTTTGTATTTTATAGATTATTAATATTATTGGTTTTCTATTTAAGTCAAGTGATTTTTCTCTGTTTTAGTGTCAGCTTCAGTAGAGAGAGTCCGTTTAGAATGGTAAAACTTTTGGTAACAAGAAGCACGCTTTTAAAAAGGAAAATCAGAGTAACATTTGGTGTTTGGAGGAACATGGGAATAATTTAGGATTTGGACGAGCATTGGCATTGCAGTGGCATGGGGAGATGTGACAGAGGTGTGACTCATTACTTGGCTTTATAATATGAAGGAAATTATGGGGCGTGCTTTTTGTGTAAACAACACAACATGACTTCTGTCCTGTATATACAGTCAGCAATCCAAAAATTGGCAACGCAAAAGCCCTACGAATGCCAGCATGGCCTCGTTTTGAGGCATCTTACTAGCAGATGTTCATTCATCAGACAGAAGTAGTGTTAAATCAGGATGTGTGTATGTGGTTTTAGGTTTGTGGTGCAGGTAATTTGTGTTGCGGGAACTTAAATCTGTTTGCACAGTCACATTACGAGGGCATGCCGATGAAAAACAAGTCTCTGTCTCATAAATCATTACATTTTAAAGGCATGATTTGAGGTTTAGGTAATGTTGGGGCAACACAGGCAGTAGTTACGGTTAAGATTAGAGTAAACCTCCAGGAAGTGAATTTTAAGCAAAGAAATCTCTGAAGTCATGCAAACACAACTGTGTGTGTGTGTGCGTGCGTGCGTTCGTGCGTGTGCGTGTGTGTGTGTGTGTGTGTGTGTGTGTGTGTGTGTGTGTGTGTGTGTGTGTGTGTGTGTGTGTGTGTGTGTGTGCATGCGTGTGTGTGTGTGTGTGTGTGTGTACCCCAGTAAATGGACCACCAGGCATCCAGACACAGACTTTGCCTTCTGAGCTTAATACAACTAGTTTTGCTCTGATCAGCCCTGGTAACAGTTAAGGCTTCAAAGACATCACCTCAGAGGCTGACAGCAGCTATTTCAGACCTTGAGATCTAAGTTCCAGTTTTCAGAAGAAAAAAAAAAGATATGCCCTAGGCCTATTTTGAAGCCTACTCCTCCAAAAAATGATAAAAATGAAATTTTACGGTAAAAATAGTTTAGATGGCCTTGTAGCGCTGGGTTTGCTGATTCATTTGATGGGAATTATTACTATTTCTTCTGTAGTGTGAGGGTTATTTTGGGCCTGTTAAGGAACTAACGTCACAGGGTCCCCAGGTGGGGGACTCTAGGGCTTAAGGGGTTGCTCTAAGAAAACAGTACTCACTGAGGACAACTCCTTTCTTTTGTAAAAACAAAACACACATACTAAAAAGAAAAACAGTTTTTATTAAAAGAGCAAGGAATGGAGTTTTATAAGTTAACAAACATCAGAAGTTAGGAACTTTTGGAGGACCTGAACAAGAATAGGTACTCAGAAAGGTCTGATGGTGTAGCTGGTTAACTCATGTTGACCATCTCTGGACCAGAGGATCGGACACTCGCGTCTTCCCTGCCGGACCGAGTGTCATCTTGGATGGACACCGTCCTCCTGATCTCCAGATCCACAAGAGGGTCTCTTCTGTTGGGTGAGGTAGAACACAGGAATGCGTTTGATGCTGTTTTCTCTAAATGAACAACTCAGGTAGCTGCAAAACATCATTTCCATCCAGAACGCTTTCTCTCTCTCTGAAAGAAATCTTCTGATAATTCCATTCACGCATCCAAACTCGTATTTCCAATTTAGCTTCCATCCAGCCACAGTTTTGCTTTTAAAACAAGTTTAATATCAAAGCTGTTAAAAATTGTCATTAAATTGTCATCCATGAGTTGTCGTTATAATTGTCGTTCAAATCTTTAAGTTTAAAATTGTTAGTAATAAAATTTCTTCTTTTTTAAACTTGCCTCATTATTGAAACAAAACACAGAAAAGGTATAATATTTCTGGTTATTGAAAAGCAAAGATTCCTAGCTTCTGATTCAAAAATAAACTTTTGCTATAAAATTTAATTATTTAAATTAAACATTAATCTTTGAATTAAAATTAGACCAAACAGGTTGGTGTATGAACTTAGATCGATTATATAAGTATCCTGGATATTTGTACATGATGTAAGCCTCATAGGTTAATCTGATTGGTCATTCTCAGACTCTCCAGCTGAATAGCAACAGTGTTGATTCTAGTGTGTAGTTAAACTCTAAACTCAATTTTTTTTACTGTATATGAGGTCTGCTCTTAATGTACAGTACTTCAGTCCGCTCCCATGCCATGTTTTAACATGCTTAACAAAAAAAATGTGGTATGGTATGTTATTGTATGGTCTATTCTGGATTATGAAGGCCTTTTATATATGAAGGCCTCAGCACAATCTCTTTGTAAGAAGATGTGGTTTATCATGCCCCACTGAGGTTTATTACTAACTGTAGACCATCATTGCGAATTGTATTCTCACTTGGGATGGTCTTCTTTGTCCACCTGGAGGTTGAGACATTGGTACACTTTGATTTTTAAGGCCATGCTTGGACTACTACCCACCTACATCTGTACCTTCTTATGGAGAAGTGTTGTTACTTTGTAATCCATTTACTCAGAATTGGGCAAAAGGGCTTTCATTCACTCTTCTACTTCTTCATGAAACAGGTAGCAGGAAAACTGGAAAATAACCGAGCTTATCTCCATGATGCATTTAGTACCAGATTGAGAGCATTTGAAATTGGCTCTCTGTGGTGTAACTGCCTTGTATAAATTGTATCTAACTTTAAGGGTGTAACTGAGTAAATGTGTAACTATATACTTTGCTGCCCCTCTCCTGGTTGAATATAAAAATATATATATGTATATATATATATATATATATATATATATATATATATATATATATATATATATATATATATATATATATATATATATATATTTATATATATATATATATATATATATATATATATATATATATATACATAATATATATATATATACACATAAAAAAAATATATATATATATACATATATATATATATATATATATATATATATATATATATATATATATATATATACATAAAATTTACCTGTCTATTAGCAGGGGTGGTGTGGCTGTAGAACCTCCTTGTGTGTTCTTCTGTATTATTCCTCCTTCCCACGGTTCCATCATCTTACTGTCAGCACCCTACAATTACACAACCTGAACCCTCCTCCACTCTTCAAACAAACACAGGCACAAATAATCTAGCTTCCAACCAGAGAAGAGCTTGGTGGAAAGAAGAAGATGCTAATATGCCTAACAAGGTTTACAACAGAAGCTCAGGAAGAAGAAAATGACTGAAACAGGACATCAGGTGTTTATGGTCATGGTGCAACTTATTCTGCTCTCAGCAGCTCATCAGCAGAGAAGGTAAAGAGTTCATGAGAAGTTTTTTTTTTTTACTTAGCGCTGAATAATTTTTACCTCAGCTTATTTTATACCAGCATTTTATCAATACAATAAATTAATTATTAATTATTCAACTGTCAAGCAAATCCTTTATTAAAATGGGATTTTATGACTAGGCTTTAGATAAACATTCCTTCAGAACTAACAGATGATGTTTCCTTATCCAAGACTATGAGAATCTCCTTGAAACTTGACCATGCACGTAGATCATTTGTTAGCAAGTTAGATTTGAGCTATTGTGACTTTCTTGCACATTTGATGATCAATGCATATTTTTGTACAAATAAAAACACACAAGTCAGGCATTTTTACACTAAACTGCAGCACTCAAAAGCTTCCATTACACTTAAAGATTGACTTAGTGGAAGATAATGTCTGAGTAAAACTAAACACAGCTGCAACAACAAATACCAAAAAGTCTTTGTTCCAATTGTCTTTTTTCTCAGTCATCACAGGTTAGGGGAGGACAGACTGAATACTTTGGGTCAAATAAAGTCAGATCTCTGTGAGTATGATCTGACCACTTCTGTTTATTCGTTCATTCAAACGGTGGAAAATCAACAGTATTAGCCAGAGGAAGTCATTCTGAGTGAGTTCATTACTAGCTTTTGTGAGACATCATGGGCTCTGGCACCCAGCTGTATTGTTTTGCTTTTACATGACTTGAAATCAAGGCCTTAATGGTGCTTAGCTGGCCCATTGGCCAGTGTGTTTTATACTGTTGAAAAGCCTGATTAGACAGCCCAGAAATGTAGCAAAATCTCTTTTGACAGTCTCCTGTTGGTATTTCCTCATATTTTGGGCTTCAGGAGCTGCCAGGTGTGGGCAGTCTGTGGATGAGTGACATCTGATTGACAGCTCTTAAGCCTAGTTTGTCAGCAGGACAGAACACAACAGTCCCCTGCATCATTGTGAGTCTGAAAGTCATTAGAGACCCTGAGAAGAGCTGTTTCAGTAGAATGAGCTCTACAAAAACCTGACTGTAAGCAATCATAGATGTTATGTTCATCAAGAGCAGCTGTGAGTTGTTTAGCCACAACCTTTTCCAAGATCTTGGAGATGAACGGAAGTTTAGAGATGGGTCTGAAGCTGCTATGGAGACTCAGAATTGTCATTTGGCTCCGGGCCAATGCACCACTCAGATAAACAAACAGGGAGGTACGTCATCGGTGCATCTTGGGCGATTTTAACGAACGGAAGGACAAAAGAGTCTCGCGATCATAGGAGATGGTAGCAGGGACACTACTGAAGAGGATCACAGACAGGAGCAAGGTGGAAAAGAGGAGGTTAGTGGAGAAAATTTTTTAAAAGTGGCCGGTGACTGCGGCCAAGTCAAGCACAGGCGCCATCTTGTTACTGACTGGCATGGCTGTCAATATGGCTGGAGATGAGCGGAAGTTTAAGGATGGATCTGAAGCTGCTATGAAGATAGAGGTCAAGCCTTGGGTATTTAAGAAGCGGGTGGATTGCAGCATTCTTAAAGTAAGCAGGGACCTGACCAGAAACCAGAGAAGCATCAATTATAGAGAGCACGCTGGGACCGATGGACTGAAAAGCATTTTTTAACAAAGATGACCGTCAGATGTCGAGGGGGCATGCAGCGGTCTTCATAGAGTTAACTAGTTTGGTTAACTCATACAAAGAAACAGGAGCAAAGCTATCTGGGATGATGGGCCTGGTTGGAGTGGGCACAGGTAGCGATAAGGCTGAAAAACACATGCTAGATCTCTTTTTTTCCCCCCGGGATTGACTTGGTCCACAAAAAAAAGACACAGTCGGCAAAAGTATGAATGGAGGCAGTAGGAGAGGCAGGAGATGGTGATGCTGATCCTGATGGTGTTAAACAACATCTTGGGCTTCCCTTTGCTTTGGGACACCAGATGGGAGATGGATTTTCTTCCACAAGCACTTAATTTTTCTGGTTCAGGCTGCAAATGCTGTCATTAAACCAGGGAGTAGGGTTCACTGCAGGAACTGATCTGGTTCTGACAGGACAGGTGCTGTCCAGAATGGAGAGGCAGTGCTCGTTAAACTGAGTAGTTAAGGAATCTGGGTCGTTATCAGAAGAACAGGGTGGATTGAAAGCAGCAGAATATTTGCCAGCTGTGCTCTCATTAAGAAAACGAGAACTAACTAAGCAGCGAGCAGGAGGTGGGGGTCGGTGGTCTGACATATACACATCATCAGGACAGACAGTGTCATCTTAGATGTGTTCTTGCTGTGTCTTTGTAAATCCATGCTTTCGTTCTTTTTTAAACACAGAAACAGTTTTGTTTACCTGTTTGTAGCTACGGTTTCGCCGACAGCTGCCGGCTTCTTCAGGCTGACGCTGATGGTGGCGCGTCACTTCCTTCTCCGTTTATCTGGGACAGCACACGGATCATAACCACTGAACAACAAAAATACAAAAGATGGATCAAGGAAGCAATAGAGATAAGGAGACGTGGATGTGGGACCATGAACAGGGACGACGGAGTTTACACGCTGGACCACGCATGGGACTGCATCGTCGGAGAGGGGAGAGCGGGCAGTAGAGGGCGACAACGTCCTCTGCTGCCCGCAGATAAACGGAGAAGGAAGTGACGCGCCACCATCAGCGTCAGCCTGAAGAAGCCGGCAGCTGTCGGCGAAACCGTAGCTACAAACAGGTAAACAAAACTGTTTCTGTGTTTAAAAAAGAACGAAAGCACAGACAGTGTCATCATTTAGACCCAGGGTAAAAACAAGGTCCAGAGTGTGCCCCCTGGTGTGTGTGGGCCAGAAAAATGCAGAGTAAAGCTGAAGGAGTCCATGAGGCTGGAAAAGCTGCTGGCAAAGGGATATGAGTCACCATTGTGGAGTACTTCACAGTGGAGGATAAAAAGTCACTAAACTCCCGAAGGAAAGAACTGTTTGGACCAGGTGGACGATAAACCACAGCACAGTAGAATGGGTCCTTACACCCGCCTTTAATCAGCTGCAGTTTAGCTAAGGAAGTAAAGTGACCAGAGGTTGCAGAGCAACATGAAAGATGGTCTCTAAAATAATAACTAGGCCACCTCGACCAGAACCCCGGGACTGGCTAAGGAAAGAAAAACCACTATGTCAGAGTTCAGTCAGACCAGAAAGATGAGATGTTTGCAACTAATCTTCGGACAGAAACAGAAAATCCAGGCTTTTAGAGAGAATTAGATCATTAAGCAGGAAGGACTCATTATTAAGCGGGTATTTTTTACAGCCATGCTGAGTGCGGTGGTGAAAGCAGAAAATACAAAAACAGCTGGAGATAGTGGACATAAGTTAGCAGAGTTAGATCCAATGTGTTTGTAAAATCCTCCTATGGAGGGAACAGGAGGAGAAACCACTGAGGATAAACAGACCTTAAAAACTTGGATGGAGAAACCACGCCATATTGTGGCCTGGTGGGAAAATGGAAGTGGCACTCAGGTTGCCAAACAAGGAAGAAGAAGCTAAAAGATCACGCTGATGTTTACAAGATAAACCACGCTTTAAGAGAATGCTTATTCTTACCTTGATTCCTGATCTTTCTTCTTCTGCCACCTGGAGAATACAGATGCTTCTGTTTTCTCTTCCCTTATCTTTTCCCAAGGCTGATGTCCTGTCTGTCCGTCAACAGAGCGCTTCTCTGCATTCCTCCTGAAAACTAAATTTTTATTAAATGATGGATTTGGACTACTGGTCATTCAATACGATTGACAAGATTTTTTCAACAATGAAAACAGAGCGGGGGTCTCCAGCTTGTCTGGATGGAAATCACCTGGTGAAGTATATTTTGGATTCCTGGAAGGAGTGGAATATTATATGGCTTTCCCAGCTATCCGTGGAGGACATTGAAGATACATGGATTTTTGGCCTGAAATTTACTAGATTTCTTCTGATTGGAGAGGGAGGATATCTGGTATTTTGGAAAATTTGGATGTTGGGGGCAATTTGAAAGTCTCAGCCATATGGGGACTGCTCAGACTGGGATGCTGCTGGAGGTGACTCAAAAGCTAGAAGTCCTGGGTGCGATCTCGGTCTTAGCATGCAAAATGGATGTTATCTTGGAGAAAGCCACTGCACGGTATGGGCAGGGGTGGACGGGGACCAAAACTCGGCCCTGGTATTTTTACGCTTCGTCGGCCCTCTGTCGCCCCTCCCCATTGGGAGAGTGGTGGGGGTAGGGGGTGTTGCTGCCCACGGACTCGTCTCTAGGCCGAATGTGAGATCTAATATGGACTGGGACTGTTAAAATACAAGCAGGGCAAGACCACTGCGACCGGGAGCCCTGGCCTTCCAGATCAGCTCATTCTCCACGGGCGGAGATCAGCGGGACATTAGTTACATGCTAACGCGGTAAAACAACTCCTACGTCATCACTCTACCGCATTTATCTTGCTAAAAACACCTGGAAAAACTCTGTTAGCTTCGGGTTACAATGTAGCTAACGTTCCGCAGATCACCAACTGAGGAGTAGTGTCGGCCAAAGCTGGGCAAGCAGCCCACTTGGCTAAGCGGCCCACCGGGACAATGCCAGAATGCCAGATAGACCAGTCCACCCCTGGGTATGGGCAGGTTTAATACCCAATAATTGGATTAACTGCAAGAGTGAAGACCAGTTACAAGCTGAAAAGCAGAGAAGAAATGATCTCTGCCTGCCCCAAAATAATTCTTCTTATCTGAATCTGGCGCCCTGGTAGCCTTGAGTTGCGAGAAGAAAAAACCTCCACGAAGGAATGCAGACAGATGCTGTGGAAACCCACCCTACCCCCGCCGATGGATTGGTTTTGTAGCCTGGCGAGGCACCAAATGAAGCCCGTTTGGGGAAACTCTGGAAAGCCTTTTTTCTCCCTCACCCGTATTTTCCTCATGTTACCCATTTTCACTCCTGCATATGGGAGCGCGAGGTACGCGCATGACCACAGTTCAGCCTGATTCTGTTATGTTGTGTCTTGTCTTGTTTTTGTTATGTCAGGTCTTGAACAGGTTGTTCTGAAACAGTAATTTCATTGTGGGACGCTGGTACAATGACAAAGATTCTTGGTTCCTTGAGTCCTCGATTACCCCTTTTCCTCAGAAGTTTTCCCAGGGTTGGTTAAACATCGCTGGGTGAAAAATGACTAATCAGGCATTTCAAATATACACCAGTTGGTGTAATTAAAAACTTAATAATTTCAATAACTTTAATACTCCTTTTGAGAATCCTTATTTATATATACAAGTAGCTCATGTAATAAATGAAGCGAAACAAAACAACTACTCCATGGTGGCTCCAGTATAGGTTTTATTTACTGCCCCAAGCTTGTAAACAAAATGGAAGGGATTCAAAAGACGTTTTATGTTTATTTAACATTTGTAGATTTTGGGTGATTCAGTTTCATACAGCTTGATCAAATTATTTTTTTCTGTTTCCTGAGTGCACAGATTCTGATTCCGAAATTTTTAAAAAGTGGCACTGTTGAATAAGATTTTACAGTTTCATTTTTGAAAATTGATGGAGAAGTTTGTAAAATTGTTGATGACATACCCATGGGGTGGCTGTGCTGGCCAATACACGTGATCATAAAAAATAGGTTTGTGCCTATTTGATGTAAACAAATATGTTATTTTAATGTTTTATAGCTGTGTACATAATTAACACTTCTTTGTATGTTAAAACTTTATCCATTATGTTCCTCAGCAGTGTGCAGGAAGTCCTGTGTGAATGGAAAATGCATGAGACCAGACAAGTGTTCATGCGTCACAGGGTATAAAGGATCGCATTGTAATGAAGGTGGAGTGTAATTTCTGAAACCACTGCCAGACTTGTGTTTTCAGTTTCTCAACCATTACCTGTGCCCTCACGTATCATTTACGGCAAAGATTTCAATCAACTGCTTAAATGATGTTCTGTCTTAACTCCAGATGTGAATGAGTGTGGCTTTTCGGAGAGACCATGTTCCCAACGCTGCATGAACACACCTGGTAGCTATCGCTGTTACTGTGCACCCAGATACACGCTCAGTGTGGACAGACACACCTGCATCAGTGAGTGAATTTTTCTTTCAAATCGCTTTTTAAAATCTTCCTAACACCCAGCTTCTGCTTTTGTGTTGCAGGAGAGACCACGTGTTTCTCTCTGCGCTGCCAGTTTGGTTGCCAGTTGGAACGAGCTGGAGTGGTTCGTTGCCTGTGTCCCCCTGGTCTCCACCTGGCTGCTGATAATCGCACTTGTGAAGGTGCTTCTTTATAAAATCACATTTCACCGAAACATTCTAGCTCACATTGGAATGGAACTGCTATGACTCAGTAGCAGAAAAGGGGTAGTTCAACCTCCATTCTGAATTGCCCTTGAGCAAGATATCAAACATGGTTACTGAAGCCCTTTTTACAAGACACACCATGCCAGTAAATTGGCGTAATATTACCGCAACGGTATCTGAAGCTTGGTTTATGCTTGACGCATTCACTTTCCGCTTGGTGATGTGGCTCGCGGATGGAACACGCTTCACAACACGCAGCGTTTATGGTTCATGCGGCTTGTCTCTGCGGTGAGCCAATATTCTCCCAAACTGTAGGGGGCAGCATGGAGCTCTACAGCATGCATCCAACACTACACCATAGTAGAAGTAGAAATTACTGTTTACAACATGGCATTCCAGCATTTGTTGTTGGTTGTTAAAATGATGCAATTTCGCCGCGCGGAGCTGTGCGGACCTCGCGGACGCGTCAAGCATAAACCAACCTTTATAAATGCGCCATGTCAGCATAGCGTTGTGCGAATTTTGCTGCATTTGTTTCGCCTCGCTTGTTAGTAAAGTTGCAGTAACTGTCTGTCTCATGAAGTCTGCACCTTGGCGCAACAGAGGGAGGTGTCATGATCACGTGGGGAGTTACTGCTGAGCAGCTGGCAACTATATTTAAAACAAAAAATGATGGGATTTATGGCTCTTTCATGGGAGCAGTTCATTAGTCGGTCATTTACCCGGGTTGGTTAGCGTTCCTCCCAAGATATGTATGTAAACACTTGTTTCTATGGTTCCTCCTACGTCCGCCACAGCGGTGGGTGTGGTTTGAGCAGGTGAGTTTGACCAACTTCCGGGGAGGTTTGTTAAGATGAACAGCTCTCTACAGGGACTCAGCTCTCATCATTCATTTTGAAAACCCGTTCAAAAGGTTTGATTAATTCATGAATGTCACATCACTAGCGGGTCGCCTCGTGATCGGAGGACAGCGGGAGTGATTTCAGCTTCTACCAGGGGTATTCTGCTGTTGTGTCCTTGGGCAAGACACCCAACTTGCCTGTGTTGGTGGTGGCCAGAGGGGTGGTTGTAGCTAGATAGTAGCTTACCATCTCCGGCAGTGTGTAAATGTGACTGTGTGTGAATAATAAAAGTGCTTTAAGTGCCTAGAAAAGCACTAGATAAATCCAATCCATTATTATTATTATTATTATTGTAGTATTATATTTTACTGCAGCAGATACATGTATGTCAGCTCTATCTATATAAATCAATAGTGATTATGTGTGAATGAGGAAGTGAAAGAGAGAGGAAAGGGGATCCAGCACCTTCTGGCATGCTAGCTAGCTGTTTCCTGTAGCTGGGGTGTTGTCAGCCAGCACCCCCTGAGGCACTAAAGCTGATGTTGCAAATCTACAGAACAAGCTAGGTTTTGAATACAAACATGGTCACAGACCACTCACCTCACCCTCGGGTATCTTACCTGAATGCTTCTGCTGGATCCGGAAACCAGACTATCCCTCTGCTGTCAGAGAAAACGAGAGAGAGCTAAACACCTGTCGCTAATTTCTACATCCAAACGTCTTTTCTTGTCCGTGACTTAAAATGGTGTTTTTCTTTTTGGGACTCTGGTAGTTTCTCGTAAAGTTGAAGTGGTAGCAGCCGGCTGTTTCTCCTCTGATATTGCTGAGCTGTGAACCTGCCAGTTGTGTTCTGTTGCTAAACATACAAGTGCATAATGAATGGAGGACCCAGGGAAGTATGGTGGTTCAGCGAGACCAACAACCAGATGGTCATCAATGGTTGCTTTCGGTCTGAAAGGTATTATTGGAGGTTTATAGACAAATGCTAGAGAACAACTTTGTTAAAATTTTTATTTTTTTTTATCTCCAACAATTTATCTATAGCTATATTATGTTAGAATTCTGCTAAGAGGCTATAGCAGCTTTAAATCCACAAAGGCATGACAATAATTAAAGCAGCATGGAAGATAAGGTTTAAATCTTAAGTGTGAGTCATTAATTTCTTACTACTAAACACATTTCTTTAGAAATACACAGAAAACATAAGTACATTATGCAATCGTCGTATTAACCACAGTTCACAAGGTTGTCAATGATGTCAGGGATGATAGGGAAGTTAGACATAGAAGCTTCAAAATGTTCTTGTTGCATCTTGTTCTGTTGTTTATTTAGAAAACAGCTCAAGAGGACAGTGTGCTGCTATAAGATCAGCTGCCTGCAGCAACGTTACAAGTGGCAGTCTGCCCAACCAATTATAAAAGGCCTCTAATTAACTGAAGAAAACATGCTCTGGACTCTTATTGGTGTTCCCTTTGTGACCCAGGATAACTCAGCAGACAACTCCTGTCCTGTAATGAAGCACGCCGCCCTCACGGCAGTTGGAGAGACATTCTCACACTTGTGGGGGTAATTTTTGTGGAAGCTGTTTAAAGTTTGAGTCAGAAAGAAGTCACAACCATTTCTTTCACTGGTGTAAAAACTACTAGAAACAAGCAGGTAGACATAAAATGTACTAAATAAGAAGGCATCACCCGAAATACATTTGGTGTGTGTGTGTGTGTGTGTGTGTGTGTGTGTGTGTGTGTGTGTGTGTGTGTGTGTGTGTGTGTGTGTGTGTGTGTGTGTGTGTGTGTGTGTGTGTGTGTGTGTGTGCACGTGACAGTTAAAATTAAAGAATATAGGATTGGATATTATTGATAAAAAACAGACGTTTATGCTTGACACGTGTGTTTTGTTGCAGATGTTGATGAGTGTCGGGACACTGATGTGTGTGTATCACGGAGGAAGTGCAGGAACACTTTCGGGAGCTTTGTTTGTGTTTGCAGAGACGGCTTTGTGATGGGGACCCTGCAGGGCTCTGTGGAATGTCGAGGTAAAAAAAATTAAAGGTTTAGCATTCCTTGAAAGGAATGAATATCACTCACCATCCTCAATGCCAGGGATTTTTAAACTTGAAATGATGGTTGTAGATGTTTCAGTCAAAATTCAGAAACAACGTTACGTAAACTATCAAGCATAATCACGACGAGACCTATTGTGGGGTATTTTTTAAACTCTATGTTCAATACAAAACATGTTTATGAATTTCTTTGCACTTAATCTCTCTCACATGAGGTGATTTCAGCAGTTTTATTCTTGAGATTTTCAGTACCTTCCAGAATGAGCCATTTCAGGGCTCTGTCACTTAAAGAAAACAAGTGGGAGCTGGCCACACCCACCCATTCCCCTCTCAGGCTGCTATAAGCTGAGAAGCTATGATATCTGGGAGTAGAGCCAATGCTTCTCTAGCCAGGAAAGTTGAGTTCTATGCTAATTTCCTTCATTGTGACATCACAAACAGTGAGTTTTTAAATGGCTTATTTTAGGCACTTAAGCCTTTAAACCAAACACTAACAGAAAACAGATGGATGTTGTTTGTTTTAATTTAGAGTGTTTATAGAAGCAGTAAAGATCCACATGGCAGCAGAAAATTACGCAAAATGTGAGTTTTGCATAACATATCCCCTTTAAATTAGTATAGGCACTAGCACTAGGATAACTCCATGAAGATTAATTTTTACTGCAGTCCCACGAATTTGATTGAGTTTTATGAGGTATTGAAATATATAGATATAGATAGATATTGATATATATATACATATATATATACACACACACATATATATATATATATATATATATATATATATATATATATATATATATATATATATAAGTTGAGTTTTAAATTCCATTTTTGGTTCTTTTTAAAACACATAGAAGGTTTCTCTTTACCTTGCTGACAGTTTCGTTTGCGTCTGCAAACATCCTCAGAGCTGACGCTGATGGTGGCGTCACGTCCTACTCCGTTTAGTAGGAAGTAGGAGCAGTGGATCTACTCCGAGCCCCTCCCGGATGACCGAGCTTCTCACCCTATCTCTAAGGGAGAGCCCAGCCACTCTTCGGAGAAAACTCATTTCGGCTGCTTGTATCCGCAATCTCGTTTTTTCGGTCACTACCCAAAGCTCATGACTATAGGTGAGGGTAGGAACGTAGATCGACCGGTAAATCGAGAGCTTCGCCTTCTGACTCAGCTCCCTCTTCACCACGAACAACGCCCGCGCCACTGCAGATGCAGCACCAATCCGCCTATTGATCTCAGGCTCCAGATTTCCCACACTCATGAACAAGACCCCGAGATACTTAAACTCCTCCACTTGGGGCAGGACCTCATCCCTGACCCGGAGAAGGCATTCTACCCTTTTCCGAATCAAGACCATGGTATCTGATTTAGAGGAGCTGATTCTCATCCCAGCTGCTTCCCACTTGGCTGTGAACCGCTCCAGCGAAAGCTGAAGATCACGTTCTGATGAAGCCAACAGGACCACATCATCTGCAAAAGCAGAGGTACGATCCTCAGGCCACCAAAACGGATGCCCTCCACACCTTGGCTGTGCCTAGAAATCCTGTCCATAAAGGTTATGAACAGAATTGGTGACAAAGGGCAGCCTTGGCAGAGTCCAACTCTCACTGGGAACGAACCCAACTTACTGCTGGCAATGCGGACCAAGCTCTGACAACCGTCATACAGGGGCCTAACAGCCCGTATCAGAGGGCCTGGTACCCCATACTCCCGGAGTACCCCCTACAGGACCCCCCGAGGGACGCGGTCAAACGCCTTCTCCAAATCCACAAAACACATGTAGAATGTTTGGGCAAATTCCCACGCACCCTCCAAGATCCCCCTAAGGGTATAGAGCTGGTCCAGTGTTCCACGGCCAGGACGAATACCACATTGCTCCTCCTGAATCTGAGGTTAAAAAATCCGACGGACCCTCCTCTCCAGAACCCCTGAATAGATCTTACCAGGAAGGCTCAGGAGTATGATCCCCCTGTCGTTGGAACACACCCTGCGGTCCCCCTTTATAATTAAGGGAACTACCACCCCGGTCTGCCAGTCCAGTGGGACTGCCCCCGATGTCCACGCAATATTGCAGAGCCGTGTCAGCCAACACAGCCCCACAACATCCAGAGCCTTAAGGAACTCCAGGCAGATCTCATCCACCCCTGGAGCCTTGCCACAGAGGAGCTTTTTAACCACCTCAGTGACCTGAGCACCAGAGATTTAAGAGGCCAACTCAAAGTCCCCAGACTCTGCTTCCTCACTGGAAGACGTGTCGGTGGGATTGAGTAGGTCTTCGAAGTATTCTGCCCACCGATCCACAACATCCTGAGTAGAGGTCAGCAGCACACCGTCCCCACTATAGATAGTGTTGGTAGCGCACTGCATCCAACACCCCATTCATTCCACTTGTTGAGCAGATGTGGTTCAATTTCTTGCATTTGTTGTGGTGCTCATGAACAAAATGTAGATATGTGAGAAGTTTTCCTTCAGTCTTTTGATAAAACACTTGCAGCTGGCAAAATGCAGAGCATGCAGCTCTAGCTCCTCACTTGAATGAAACCAGAAATGTTGAGACAACCACCAAGCCACAGGATTTTTTTTTTCACAACACATTCAGATCTTTTCCCCGTCTGCACTGCAAATGACTGAAAGGATCGCAGCACATCCCCACATGTTCTTCTCATCTGTGCTAATTGGCAGAGAAAAGGGACTTGTGAGGATGTGCTTGGCAAGACAGAATCTATAGACCATGTTTATTTGATGAGCAGTGGTGGCTCGCTCACGAGCTATTTTTGTTTTCTTCTGCGTGATGAGCACTGGGGGACTAGATCTTAAACAGGTTCCAAGTTGTAAAACCTTTGGCTTTCTCCAAACAGCCTGAGTTTATCTTCCTGCAGCATACTTTGTTTCAGGAAAAACAGATTAATACACAGTCCTTCCCAATGCTGTTGGGACAGCAAGGACAGTTGCTTTATTTTAATTGTAGACTGAAAATATTTTGGGTTTGGCAACAAAAGTTTAACATGAGACAAAAGATCAATATGTCAGCTTTTAGTTTCTGAGGATTTATTTTTCTTTTTAAATCAAACTTTAGAAATGGTGGTTGCTGATCCAACCACTTTTTGGAGAATGGTGGAAAACGGTTTGATGCAGCTCAGTCATGGAATGGCAATGGATACTGAGAACTGTGTAATATAACCAGATTCTGCCCATCCAGTTTAAGCTCAGTTCACACAGTGGGGTAATCATGCTGATTGTTTACCAGTCATACATCTTTCAACAATCTTAAAGATGCACATGATTACCACTAATAATAATCTCATCAGACAATCCTACCCTTTGTGGTGTGTTAAGAGTGCTCCCTTCTGCTCAGAAGGACGTTGGGACCGCTCCAATCTTAAATCTCGGCTTCCAACATGTTCATCATTATTATTATAATCCATTCATTTTCTTCCACTTATCTGGAGTCGGGTTGTAGGGGCAGCAGTGTAAGCCTCACCAGGGAGGCGTCCATGAGGCATTCAACTGGCTCGTCTCAATGTGGAGGAGCAGCAGATCTACTCCAACCTCCTCCCAGATGGCCAAGCTTCTGACCCTATCTCTAAGGGAGAGCCAAGACACCCTGCGGAGAAAACTCATTTCGGCCACTTGTAACTGTGATCTTGTTCTTCCAGTCTCTAATCAAAGTTTGTGACCATATATGAGGCTAGGCATGTAGATCAATCGGTAAATGGAGAGCTTCCCCTTCCGGCTCAGCTGTCTCTTCACCACGACAGGCCGGTACAACGCCCGCTTCACTGCCGATGCAGCAACAATGCACCTGTTGACCTCTAGAACAAAACACCACTCGGATTCAGATCCGGTAGGAGGGGGGTTCCTTCTAACTACACCTCTCCAAGTCTCACTGTCATTGCTCACATGAGCATGGAAGTCCCCCGGGAGAATGATAGTCACAGTATGCCCACCCCTGCTCAGCGCCACTCATTGGAGCATCTCCAGAGTGGTCGAGTGTCTAACCCCCCTCAAGGAAAGCCATGCATCATGGTGAGTCCAACTATATCTAACCAGAACGTCTCAACCTCACACACCTCATCAGCATCCTCACTTTATTTATAAAGCACTTTCCAGCACTCTCAGAGATGCCCCAATGTGCAGAACATTAAAACAAGAAAAAAACAGGAGTTGGATGTTGGACTGTTTTGGTCTGATTTTGGGGACAAATATGCTGCCAGTTGAGTTTGATGTCTAGTCTATAAGAAGGCAAGGAGACAGATCATCCTCCACCATAAATGTTTATTTTGAAGTCATATTTTATTTTGTGAGATTTCCGATCTGACTGGGAGATGTCTGAGTGAAAGCCATTTGTGTGTAGTGTGTACAGTAGTATTTATAGAGCTGTGCACACCACAACTGATATATCCGATTTTTTTATCACCACCCGAGAGCTCTCTCATGCTTTGAAAATTGGTCGACAATTGGAAAACTCTGCCATGTGAACCAAGCTATAGGAAGTTAGTGGTGGATGGTTGTTCCACAGCAACATTTTAATGGAGACAACCAACCATTAACACCTTGAACCAATTTTCATGAAAATGTGCAAATTCTACCCAGAAACGTTTCTGGTGGGTTTGGTTCTACACTAGAACGTTTCTGTGCAAATTCTACCCAGAAACGTTCTAGTGTAGAACCAAACCCACCAGTTTCTTATGTCATGAAAATGGTGCGGACCATCTGCTCCACCGTACAGCTCCTAATCGGGTTCCACTGCAAGGTGTCGCATTTATTTGTTTAAAATTTCACAGAATAAAACTGATTTATTTTTTTCTTTTCCAACTCTTTGACTCATCTAAAGGTTTGGCCTTCCATTACATGCAATGCTATGTTCTAAGTCAATAAACAAATCTAAGGGTAAATAGAATAGAATAGAATAGAATAGAAGAATAGACTTCATTTGTCCTACAAAGAGGAAATTCACTTGTTACAGCAGGACATACATGTAGAGAAAAGAAAGAAGAAAACATAATAAGATTAAGGCAATAAGCTATGATTGTAACCTTCAACCACTAAAAACAACAAACAAAAAGGAAACTTGGGTTTCCAGAACTTTGCAGCATAAGGGACACAGACATACTAATGTACATCCAGTATTGTAAAAGCATTGAACACATACTGAATGTTGCATTGATGTTGTGTAACAGGATAATGCTACCAGTTAAACTGTGAAGTTACACTCTCTTACTGCAGAGGGGGGCGAATGACTTATGGCAGCTCTGTTTTACATCTGGGGTGTCTCAGTCTGCCTATAGATCTGGAAATGAAAAAGCTGAGTGATGATTTTGATTTTCAATGTACAGCAGAAAACTGATTCCTATCCCATTAGCTTTGGAACAGACTGAACATTCCACCAAAATATACTAATCTTCACATTTTCTCCTTTCAAGACAAAGACGAGTGTCTAATTGGAAGTCATCAGTGCAGCCGCCATTCTCAGTGCATCAACACGGAAGGCTCCTACACCTGCCGATGTCTGGATGAATACTTTGGAAATGGGCGTACGTGTCAGCCCAGGAGAGCCCCTCAGTCCAAGGCCGCGATGTACTTCAACTATAAACTCTCCAAAAGGACCAAGTCCCGATGCCCTTCAAACACTACGGCTCAGAAAAAGGAACTGAAAACCTTCAATTAAAGAGATGTCCAAAAGACAATCAACAGTGCAATTGCATTGTAATTAACTTTATCTTCAACTGGCCTTGTCCTCGCCATTTTCTTTGTTGGAGGTTGTTGTTTTTCCTTCTTGAACCCTCCCGCAGGTAGGGCTCTTGGTACCAGTTGACAACCACAATGTTCTTTTTTATTTTCTTGGATGTTAAGCTCAAACAAACCGCTGGATGTTTTGCAAACTGTAGCGTCACCAACGTCACAGAAAATACTCTATTTGCAGTAAGTTAGGAAATATTCAACTTAAAGTTTGTTTGGGGGTTGAAAAAAGTCTGTTTTATGCATCTCACACCTGAGAATTAGTTAATAGAAGACTGACCTCTGGTGGATGGATCAGGCAAGATGCAGCTGATTATAATCACAGTATTTTTAATAATTTCCAATAAAAAATAATAGAACAGCTGAAAAATGTGCTATCCTCAACGGGCATTTGAAACAAACATTAAAGAACAGAATGATGATTTCGTGCCTCTGTCTTCTCCTTCTGTTGTGCCACAGGGAAGGTTTTTCAGACCCACTAAGTCACATTTGGGTCAGACTACCACACAGCAAGAGAGCATAGACAGGTCAGGCAAACCAAATACCAAAAATCCCTTCTGTCAGCAGCTGTCTGGAAGCCTCTTCCTGCATTCAGCGCGCGCTGGAGTGGAAATTGAAGCTTGTTTTTGATGTTTTTCTTTGGGTCAATTTTAAGCTTCCTTCCCAACGATTATGCCCGCGACCCCAGGAGAGGGGGAATTGCAACGCTTGAGGGTAATAACTGTAATGACAGGAGATGATGGTAGAGGGCACTATGTGTTGTGTCAGGACTTCAGTTGTTGTCCTTTGATGCGCTGAGGGAGTCGGGTTTGTAGTGAGAACAAGCAGCTGCTGCCTGCTGAAGGGCCCTGCCACTGACCCTATTCATCCCAGCAGCAGGTGTCACATCAAGCCCCCACCTCTCTGGCGCGCGCACACACACACACACACACACACACACACACACACACACACACACACACACACACACACGTGGAAAATCACAGAGCCTCATGCACATCCACACACACATAAATGAGTGTGTGAGTGAAGAAGGAGGAGGGGGCTGGAACTACTTACAGGGAACAAAGAGCGAAATCAGGGAAAAATGCAGCCTCTTAGAATAAATCTCTCCACAATGCTGAGAAAAATCCCCAACCTCACCCACAGAAACACAAGAAAAACCTGGTTTCTTCTCTTTTCAAAGCGGTCAAAAGTGTCTTACAAAAGCAGAAATAGAAAACATTTTAGATAAAAGAATCCAGGCCCCCTTTCTGGAAATAAAAAGAGGACCTCACACTAAGTTGTGTGTAATTCCAACCAGAAACGGGTTTATTTAGCAAAAAATAATAAGATTTAACGCCAAAGCACTTGGGCTGCAAATAAAGGATGACAAGGGGTGTGTGTGTGTGTGTGCTGGAATGGGCGTGAAAGGGGGAATTTTTTCCCTTTCCGACCTGCTTATTTTCCTGCGTCTCTGTTTATACGACACATGAGCAGCTACTTGAGCGGTGCAGAATGACCTCCGCACAAGCTAGGAAAACAGAAAACATGTCAGAAGAATGTGGACTTACAGTGACAGTGACTGAATCAAAGGGCTGCTGCCTCGGCTCTACCATCGAGAAAGCCAAATTGACATTTATCCAGAGAGAGAGAGAGAGCAAAGACGCTGACAAGTGCACAGAGCTGGTGACAATACGTTAGAAAGGATGCGAGGAACAACCGTGCCACCCACGTTGCAAAAAAAAAAAAACTCGAAGCTTTCAAACACCACCACTGAACTGTAAAACAACTAAAACCCTTGTCCCTCCCATACTGTCCTTTTCACTTTGACGTGAAAAAGCCACTGTTTCCTCCTTGGGTTCCATCACTGAGGCGTTTCTAACCTAATGCTGAACAGTCTCACTCTGGGCTAAAAAAAAAACACCATTTGAACCCTCGGCGTAAAATTATAAAACACGTTAGCGAAGAATTGAGCTTGGAAATTGGTGAGGAAAGAATTGTGTAGGCAACATTTCCACATATATCTTTTTTTTTTTTTTTTTTTTTACTAAATAAAGCAAAGCATATCAGTTCTGGTGCCCGATTATCTCCAGCATTCACGAATCATGAAAATGGGCATTTGATTCTCTTGGAAATGAAAAGAGAATAAAAACAGCAGCTTAGATCCAGTTCTGCCACAGGAATCACCAAACCACCCTGATATCTTGAGAGCAGCAATGTCCTCTCCTTCACTTTTAAATCACATTATGTGGGATAAATACACACAAACAGAAAACCTCACGGCCTCTCTCCAGATCTATACAAACTCTCACACTTCCTCTTTTCTTTCAAGATGTGGCCTTGATCCGTGCTTCAAGTCCACATGATGACTTTGAACTCTGAACAATTAAAATGAAAAAAAACACTTATCTTTCCTTTTGTCTGTCTCCCTTTATTATAAAAACTCAAACAGCCACATTAGAAGATAAAAGCAGAGCCTTGACCCGACCGGAATCCACTGTACCTAAATCAGTCCAAATATGAGAACCAGGCAGCCTCCTTATTCCAAGGATTATCCTCGAAAGAACAGGAAAGATTTCCAGCTAATCTGTTTTGGAATTCCCACTTGAGAGAAGGTGAGGGGAAGTGGTCGGGACCAAAGGTTTCTCCACTCAGAAATCTGGGCCAAACTGTTTGCCTTCCAATTAATGTCACAGACTCCATGGAAACTTTCAGAGAATCCACAAATAGTGGCTTTTAAACGGTTTTGTTACCGACAGATTTTTGTGAGTTTAGAAAAGCAGCAGATGAGACGGCGTGTCCGATAATTTTGTTTTTCGTCGGACAATATTAGAACATGTCAGTAATGTCTGAGGAGTTTATAAAAAAAACACTGTATAATTAACACTCCTGGACAGGGTAAGAAGTACACAAAGGCTTCTGGGGGAACCCAGTAATTTGGGGGGTGTTCCGTTTGCCTTGGTCCCCAAAATGCCTTGAAACGGCCCTGGGTGTGTGACTGAGTTTTGAAGGTGATCTGAATTGTATCAAATGTATAAATATGACATGTGTATAACTTATTGTTTTATACAAGTAAAAACGTGTAGCGGAGATAAATCTACCTACATTTTACTTTTCAAACACTATTCTTTGTTTTCTTGTTTTCATTTAACTGTTTTCCTGTCCTGTCTGTCTCTCATCTTCCTGCGTCTCCTCTAAACTCTCCAGAAAAACTGCTGCCTGGATTCTTACTTTTTCACCTCATCAGTTGAGCAGATCAAAGGGATCTCCTGACCGCAAAGCGGAGTGCGCGTTTCGATGCTGCTTCAGTGAGGTGAAATCACCGCAGCACACGATGAGCGGAGCACATCAGGAACAATTAAAGGACAGAGTACCAGAGGATATAAACAGATATGAACGATCATGTGTTAATAGGAATGTTTTGTTGCGCCACCTTGAGAATGCATCGTGCGCCGGACGCAGCGGGCGCACCAACGATCAGCGCTCTGCGTCCTGTCCGCTCAACAGAATCCCGCTACGCTGAGAGTCCATAAATATTGTAATATAGGTAGAAACTGGATCTTTCCCTTCAGACAGAGTGAAAAGTGGACATGTGCGGGGAAAAGAGGATGTGTGGTCACCTTAAGCTAAAGCAGGTAGAGACCTCCCACTAGCAAACCTACTCGTGTCACCCATGCGGTTTTTGGTCAGCCGACCGCCAGAGAGTGTTGTCAAAAGCAAACTTGGTCTAGTTTCTGTTTGAACATTCACTGAAAGCTGTTTGAAAGCGATAGTGTTAAAAACTCTTCAGTGTTACTTTAAAATGATGTTTGCTTCACATTCTAGGGTCCTTCTCTGCATGATTGAGGATTTGTGGCAGCATCTGAGGAGCAGCTATCCTGAACAGCTATGACATCACACAAACACCGGTCAAGGAACACGGAAACTAAGAAAGAAAAATCTCTCTTCACTCCTCTGTGAATAAGATGCGATTATGATGTAATCGTAAATAAAATAAAAATGATGTGAATAAGATAAAACTAGTTTTGGGGGCTTATTTGACACAGATAAATACACATGTTCAGATTTTTGGCTTTATTACATTGTTAAAGAATGTATGTTTCTAAGAAAGCGTGTCTGTTTCTCACTCCATTTGTGAACTCTCACAGATGAGGCCAGACCTCACCTCAAGGTCCAGTGAAGCAGGAAGCAACAAAACCCCAAAACATCAACCTGACCATACTACAACCGCCGCTGGCAGTCGTTCCCATCGCTGAGATCTTATAAACAATCAGTTGAAATATTGCTTTACTTCAGCCTTTGCTTTGTCTGTTTTGGCAGAATAGAAATCAACATTGGCCTCCTTGTAAGCTCCATGAATTACTGACTATAACTGTTTCAGTTTCAAAGGAGGTTTAACAAAAATGCAGTCTGTTTTGATGGAAAACTTTAAATTATTTGACATTGCTTCTTGGAGTCTGAGTTACAGTCTGATTTTCCGTCCAAATGGAGCCGTGTTTATCTGTGAGTCGGGGGCTGCCAGGTGACTCTGACAGATGCCTGTAAGTCAGCCCTGAGGGAGAGTTTTTGTTATGCAACACTGACATCACATGGAGAACCAGAAAATGTGCATCCATACAGGTAATTTGATGAACCTCGGTTGGTGTTTTCACAAACTGAGATGTTGAAATTAAAAAAGTACATTATAATCTGGCAATTAGGTCCCAAATTCAGATCGCAGTCCTTCAAAAGTAAACACAAAAATAAATCTCAAAAACATAAATTAAATGGTTATTTTGATATTCTTTTTAGATTTCTAAAAGTGCAACCTCTTTAACAGGGTTACTACTTTCCTCTAAAACCTGCTGTGTCAAATCCTTCATGTTTTTCTCGTGGAGAGTCTGAGTACAGCAGGTGGAAAATTCCAATGTTAATTTATTTTTAAAGGTTAATTGTTGTAGAAGGGAATACAATAGATTTGTATAATATCAGTAGCCATTCAACAGATTTTTAAACAGGTGTCTTATATTCAGATTATACATTAATGGATGGTTAAATCTGGATTAATGAAACTTAAATCTAACACCAAATTTATTTGTGTGTTTTGGACCTAAAACTTCATCCATCCATTTTCTTCCACTTATCTGGAATCGGGTCGCCGGGGCCGTAGCCTAAGTCGAGAGACCCAGACTTCCCTCTACCCCGCCACTTGAGCCAGCTGTTACGGGGGAATCCCAAAACGTTCCCTGGCCAGGTGAGAGACATAGACCCTCCAACGTGTCCTGGGTCTACCTTTAGGCCTCCTCCCGGTTGGACATGCCTGGACGCCCGGACACTTCTAGGGGGCATCCTGACCAGATGCCCGAGCCACCTCAACTTGCTCCTCTTGATGTGGAGGAGCAGTGGATCTACTCCGAGCCCCTCCCAGATGACCAAGTTTCTCACCCTATCACTAAGGGAG